CGGAAAGCTGATTTTTTTACACTTCGGCATATACTCTGGACTCCTCCGGTAAGCTTTCGGCTTCCGTGTTAAGTTTCATTTCGGCTAATGCGTCCTTTAAATGGACATCCCACAGCTACAGAACACTTTAGAGCAGGATTTTTATTCCTTGTGAGGGGTAGGCAAATTTGTGGGGTGTGATTGGCAATGGAAACTGTCTTACAGGATCTGTTACTTTCTGATGACTACTTTGCTGCATCTCGGTGCTCTTTGTGGCATCTCAGAGATTGTTGCGAGCTTCTGTCGGGCCTAAAAAGGACAACGAGGGCACAAGGTGCACTTATCTGTGTACTGTGCTTCTGGGGGGCGCTGGACTATAGTATGCCCACTCCTTACATTGTATCGTGCAATGACTGTCTCGACACCGAGATAGGAGATGATTTGATGGTACAGCCGGAGCAGATCCCTCTAGCATAATGGCACACAGGAACACCGCTTACTCGAAGAAATGCTATCTTCCATGCACAGCGGCCATAAAAGTGAAAATGAAAGGCATTCGCAAAGCAGAAATGCCTACTCCAGCATATCTCCCTCGTGTAGTTATGGCAACTCAGCTCTAGAGAGGCTGTGGTGAGCTTTGCGTTGAGGGGGCCATGTTCTACTGACTCTATTACTCCTTCTAAAAAACTACCATCAATCATTGATACGTTGGATAAATTCATGATCTGCCTTGTAACTTAAGGTGTTTCTCTCGCTGCTAACTGCCGTCCAAAACGCTCTGCTTAAGTCCCCCCTCCCGCCGCCCATTGGTATTCCGGGGAATTCTGTATGCCAGGAATTTCTCTTATTGGGAAGCTGATAGTGCGGACTCTCCGTACAAAGAATGTGCAACTGCTACTTCTTGATTCCGATTAATTTCTAAAGCTTGATATCTTGCTACAAGGTTGCAAGAGAAATATGTAGTTGTATCTTCGGGCCCTGATCCCATATGAGTGGGGCCTCTGATGGAACCAAGAGGCCCTCTCCTTGGAAATGCCCTGAAATTAAGGCCGAGTGGTGTTATGGATAGCTTGGGGGAATGCTTGCTCCCATGAATCCCGATTTCTAGGCCATTATGGGCCCAAGAGTCTGGGTTCTGTAGCTAGGCTACTCTGGGCGGAAGGGTAGTTGATCTAGGTTTCATAACATTTCGAGGTCCCTTTAGCTGTGCCCAATATGCCTATATGTTCTGATAGCGCAGGTGCTTATGACTAGAGGGGAGGCACAAGAAGTTGTGCTGTTTGCCCGAGTTCAACAATGTCGTGGAGAAAATGTAATTTACGTGGAATCTAGGCCGCAGGCCCCGGATCGAGGCCTCATTCTGGGTACACACTCTATCTTTTGTCTTTGGGTGCCACAGAATCAGCTCTGCTGACTGCATTGGCTCTTTGTCGCTGCTGCACAGGGGATCACTCGGTCAATCTTAGACACCCTCTGGACTGAATTTCTGAAGCAGTAAGGGCGTTTGAGCCACCTTATCTTCTGTGCAGCGATGGGTAATGACATTTGGGAGTTTCTGGTGCCCGAGAAGAAGTGTAGGTATTCTCTGTGCGGTTCGGTGGGGAGGAGGGGTAAATGTGTCTTAGTCTTGAAGATTGCGATCCCCTGGAAGGCTTCTGTGATACAGTTAGTGATAGCCGTTGCTCTTGAGTTAATTTACTTTCCCTCTGTGCGGATGTTTATTTTGTGGTTTCTGCAACCACAAAAGGATGGCTCCTTATATCGCTCTTAATACAATACTAGAATAAGACTAATTTATTGAGGTTGTAGGCTATGTAAATTTATTAACCATCTGCGAGGCGTGTTTAGAGACTAGAATGAATTAGCGTAATACTCTGGCTAGATTTCGCGCGTTCTCTTTGGAGGGATCTACGGTCACTGGTTTTAGGTGGCTAGGTATAGCTTTAAATATTAGTGATAACATATTTGATAAATCTAGTATACGCCAAGGGGGGGTTTGTTCGTAAACGTGCTAAGAAACACCGCATACGGAAGAACATCAACTTCTCTCCCATACAATTGAAGTTGGCACCATATCTTCACGAATTTCCGCCGGGCTATTAGTTCCCGAATCAGTTCCTGCTTAACGTCTCTAACCTGGTGGATTATCTCATTTACCATTATCGCGCAGAGTAGCTAGGGTCAGATTGGGGCGTAGACAAGAATTGTCTCCTTAGAAGCGGTGCGGATGTGCTATCCGCTGGGAACACCCAACTGGCGTCTTCACGGAGTCTACCCCAGAGAGTGGATACTCTATGAGTGTCTCATTTGCTGTGGGAACAAATTATTATCCCGACGGCGGGTGAATTAATATATATATTTTTGTAGCTTGAGGTTAGGGGTAAAAATAGTAGACTTTAAACATTGAGTATGATACATTTCCCGGGGTGGTGCATCCCCAAGTGGAGACAAGTCATAAACATGTTTCATTGATTGCTGACAACGAAGCCCCTTCGTGCATCAACAATCATGGGCGGTGTTCGCAACGGCCACAGGGCTCTGGAAGCGCCGTAGAGGAACAGCCAAACATGACCAAGTTTTATAGTCCACTCCTCCCTCCGGGGTTTGGGGGGCTGCCGATTTTGGCAAGGACCTCTGGCCGACGAAGTGATGCATCTATGCAGTCCTTGTGGCTGGGCCACGGGAGCAGGTGGCCTTTCACAGGTGTGTGGGGGAACCAGTAACATCCAGGTTTTTCTCCCCTTCATTTCGACTTCGTGTTTCTTCTTTCGCCTTTAGGCGGTGGTTGTGTTAGTTTTCATTGAATTGGAAAAACAGTGCTGTGTCCCTTCTTGCGCCATCAGACCACGGCAGACGTTTCTTTACAGGCCCCAATATTCTGAGAAATCACCAGCTCTCGAGCATTGAGTATACCTAGAGCGCGGACCACCCTCATCCACGGTCCTACAGAATAGCACTGGGGTAAAATTCTCTCTAGGACCGCTAGGGCTATGACACGATTTGTAGCGCGCACCCATCTTACCCCTTTACAAACGCCGATTACTGACGGGATATTGGCGATGGGGGAAGGTAAGTTTCGTCGTCAACGACGCAGGATTTGCAATAGGTTACTTCCAGAAGATATATTTGTACTACTAAAGGTTGCCACACACCGTACATTTATAGGTGTATAACTGAAGAGCACTGTAATACAATATTCACGGGTTATGACAATCTCGACCGGGGCGTTTCATCCCGCTTTCAGGTCGGATGTCTAGTGTTGAGGTTACAGTGGATATATAGCCCCCAGGGTCACGAGTTCTCACTCGCCACCTCTTTTCGGTGGACAAAGTGGTTTTGCTCAGGGTTTATCTCGGAATTTGTGAGTAAGTGTACCGAGACGGGAATCCCTTTACCCTGGATGCTTCTTTCATATGTTTATATATTTCTTATTGGCATTTTAGTTTAATCTTGCTTTGGTTTGAGTTGTCGGGAGGTGGGCGTCTTCACCTGTATACCCGTGCTTTGGCTACACATTTTCGAGCGCTAGTAACGCTCTCTATTAAAATTACCTCCACTATCCCAAGTCTCGGTAATCTTTTGTCCCGTCCGGATCTCGTTCTGGGCTTGGTACCAAAACATGACCCATCGTCCCAGACCACCCGCTGCACCGGTCTGATTCTCTAGATTTTGACTATCCGGGATAGCGAGGCGCGAGACTGTAGATCAGAGTACTCTTGTTTTGTGCTAGGTAAATTCATGGCCGTAGTTAAACTCAAACCTGGGCCAAGACACCCACAATCTTATTTTTTTCTGTGAATGTTAGAAATGCTTCCGTTCTACCGTAGGGGCCCATAGTCACTAACTATCACGAGCTCCCTCATTTCACTCCACCCTCCCCCCCCCCACTCATAAAACGGTGCACTCTTACCCTCTAGAAACCCGCAGTCTTGGGGTAGTGTTGCTACAATAGCGGTAGGTGAGACTACTATGCATTTAATCCCACCAACGAACAAAGAACCCAAACAAAGAAATTGTCGGGCAAGGCCCCCTTGGCGTTTTTCACAATCTCACCTGGAATCGGGCATATTACATAAGATGCTTTTCGAGGAGATTTCCAGCAATAGGAAGGTACCGTTCGGGCATGAGCATCCCCGACAAAGTCTTGATGTAGGGGTTATTGCGCCGTGTACGATACCATGTGAATGGGTGCTTTGCGCGGTGCCCTGCGCAGAACAACAAGAGTTGGCCGAGGAGGTCGTGTTTGTATTGGCGCGACTTGTAGGTGTTGGTGTTAGGGGGTATAAGACTCCAGGGTTTTACCGTAGCTGGGTGCGGTGATGTATATTGGCGGTTGGGAGATTTACTTGGTAAGGAGGATAGATTGCTTGATTGGATGAGCGGATATCCTCTTCATTAAGGGAGCCACTTTTCAAGCGGGACAGGCGAGTAGCTAGGTGGAAGATTTACTCATTACACTCTACTGACCAAGTCCTTGTGGGGGCTTGGGGTATTATGATGATTTGTGGTGTGCAGTCTTCTATATAGTACTGAGCGCTTATCTCAAAAGTGCGATCTGATCATCGGATAACCTATCTAATCTGATGACTTATTAGTACCCTAACACCTACTACTCAGAAGAAAGGAGCATCATAGCTGGCTGGGGGAACGGGGGGGGGGGGCGGGAAAGAGGAAAAAGAATCAACATATCATATATCCATGACTTATTAAAGGTGGAGAATGCTTCTCACAAGATCCACCTATTGACTTGGGGGCTAAGAAGTCTCAGACCAAAAAAAGAAAAAATTGCCAAATTCCCCGAGGTCTCGAGGGGTCTATGCTAATATGATAGTACGGGGAACAAGCTGTGCCCCCACCTCTTCCTCCGGCCAGCAAGTATTTTCTCTGGTGTAAGTTAGGTAGGCGATCATGTGCATTGCCATTTACGGTATCTACTCACCAAGTAACCCAAAACTAAATTTACCTACCCACTAGGATATTTTTGGATTCATAATGGAATATACATCCTAGGCACAAAGCGAGGAAAGAAAATTTAGCTGTATTGATCACTGGCGTTTGAAAAGCTATCGTACGTTTTGATTCTCTCTAGTCGTGTCCCGCTATCAATTCCCTCCTTCCCTTAGTCCATCCATCCATCCCACTTGCTATCCCCATCTGTCAGCCAAGCAATTGCTATACATCAATTCTCAGGTTCCAGCAAACCTCAAGGAAAGCCCCGACAGGAGGATGAGGAGATAGGAAAAGTAGCCAATTAAACAAACAATGAGCAAGCTAAACTAGACCAAAATATACCTTGTGCCTCCGGACCACTGGGATTATAAAACTGTCGCTTCAGAGCAGCATGGCTGTGCAGACAATTCGGGGGGGAAAGGAAGATTCGGCAGGTATTGGCTGAATTTTTTCGGAGTGAATCTACAAGCTAGTATCCAGAGTGGCGGAACGAAACAAACGACAAGCAATCGATAAGAGGTATTTAGAGTTTTGGAAATTTCTGTAGAATGAAGTGTGAAAAAGGAAGGGAAAGAAAAGAGGGGTGGTATTTGAGCAAGGAGAGGGGGTTTCTGAATTATAGAAGAGCATTGCAACATTGGCAAGTCATCAGCCCCTTCCAGTGAGGGCGATGGAAAGAAATAAGGGAGAAAGGGTAATGTCGTGAAGGAGGGCAAAGTATCCTCCAAGAAAACCAGAATGCGGGTCTTCGTCTAGTTTCCGTCGTTCATCTGGACATCTTCCTCCTCCACGACCGGAATCTGATCTGCTTTCCACCCTTCATCGTCGTCATCATCCGGCTTCTCAGGGTCGGACGAGCCAGCCGCTAGATTTCTAACCACCCCTAGTACCCCCTCCCGATTAGCCGCGTTACGTCTCCTACGAGCAGGCGGCGCTGGTAATCCGTGTGCAAGTCTAAATTGCGGGTTTACCGGGAAGCCTGGAGGAGGGGTAAATCGGTATCCCGGGGGAGCGAGGACAGCGAGGGGAGTTACCGGGTGCCCATCACGGTCGGACATATAGTCGACGTCGCTTATTCCGGATTCATAGTCTATGACATTGTTAGGTTTTTATATAGGGTAGAAAAAGCTTAGGTGAGATTCATACCACTCGGGAGCACTGCGGGGCCAAGGCCTAGTTCTTCCTTGACCTGCGCCAAATGCTTCTCGTCCATGTGGGCCTCCCACTCTTCACCTATCTTGAAATCGTGGGATATCTTGTCCGGGAGGGTTGTTCCGAGCTCTTTTGCTCTCTTCTTCATTTCTTCGGGAGGTTCGCGATGACAGGATGCCCAGAGACACGCATAAGCTTTATAAGTGGTCAATTTTTTGTGTGCCTTAAACACATGCTTTCGCAAGGTTTCGAAATTGTGCAATCTTGCACGGCAATGCTTCCAACGGCACTCGAAAATCTTAAATCCGGAGGGCTCCGGACGGTTCGACTTTTGAGAGCGGGGCCTCACGCTTAGTTTTGGAGTCTTTCCAGCCCTCTCACCCTCAGCTCGTTCTTCTGACTTTCTCTTTCGGTCGTTGGAGTCGTTAGACGGAGTGGCGAGGTACTCAGATCTGGATGTCCTACTCATCGCAGGGACCACAACAGCGATGCTAGATCCTGAAGGTGTTGAGAAATTTCGTAAGCCACTGGCACCTACCGATGCCCTCTGCCTTCCGCCTGCCTCAGAAGAGGCAACACGAGAGGAAGGCCCCTCACCAGGGATATCGGCACTGTCCACAGAGGCTCCTCCGGTTGGCCGAGTAAAACCGGCAGAGTTGGATGGTCCGCCTGCATCTCCGGAAGCATTACTGATAATGGCGCCCCTGATTGGTGTTATGGATGTCCCCTTTTTTGGTCTACCTCGCGGGCGGGGCAGGGGGATGGCCGTGGACGCCGGGCGTACGGGACCGGGAACACTAGAGGCCACATCGCCCTTCTTTTTACGTCCTCTTCTACGCGGAGGCGGAACAGCCGAAGCCACAACACCAGCCAGACCGCCGCCAACCCCGACAGTTCCCAGGGACCTGTCTAGGATCTCGGCCTCATCCTCCGTTTCGTCACCGTGAACAAAGGGTGGGGGTGGATCTAATATGTCCCAGCGAATTGTGGTCAAATCTACTGGCCCACTAAAGTAATTTGGCAGGGTGTCCTTTAGCACCTCTAGTCCAGAATTGAGCGTTGGGAGAGCAGGATGCCTCCCTACAGTCCGGAGGAGATCTGCGACGATTGTATCGGGATTGTATTTAGATCTCCTCCCGACAGTGGACCTCCTAATATGGGAAACGGGCTGCTCTGAAAGAACTATTTCTGGTTTGGGGGGTTGAGCCGGCATTACGCTGGGCTCCGGACTAGTTTGTTTAGTCTTTTGCACCTCACGGGGGTTTGTTGCTGCAGACTCCGGATTAGGAGAAGAGTTAATAGATTGCGGCTCCGGAGTGGGATCGGTAAGGTCGATAACGGGTGCGTTCTCTGCACGTAGCAGGGTTGGCTTCCTAACTGGAGAGGAATTAACGTTAGGCATAAAAACGGGAGGTTGGGAGGTGGGTGGTGAAATTACCCTTCGGTTGCGACGACTTGGGTAGGTGTAATTTAACAACAAGGGATTTTTGCTTGTCGGAAGGTCCAGCAGATGCTGCAGGCTCCTCGCAGCTCTTCTCAAGTTCATTACGTTCTGTAGGGCCATGACCCGTGTTCTGGGACCCGCGAGCAGAGCCGACTGTTGAGTTGGGTGAAGCCATCTCTGGTGGAAAACTGTTCAGATGGTTCTGCTCAAAAGTGGTTGAAGCTGTAGTGGTGGTGGTGGCGGTTGTCAGAGGAGTGGGATAAACGGTTGATGTCGGAGGTGTCGGCGTCCTGAACACAAGTGACGGGGTCACGAACTGTGGGTCCTTTCGATGACCTAATGAACTATAGGGACGGGGTGGAGGGGTAGGGTGTGCAGCTCTTACGCTCTGAGGTGTTGGATTCCTAGGAATTTCGGGGATATTATCGTTGTTGACACTGTCGTTGACAGTGCTCCTTGATTGGAGCTGAGAATCTTGGTTGGGCATGGGTGCGGATGTACCCGTAGGGGTGGAAAGAGGAGAGGAAGTTATTGATAGTAGGGAGATGTTGTTTTGGGGATTGGAGCTCACTGTCACCGGAGGTGTTGGGAGAGAGGATTGCTGAATGATTTGAGCCGCAGGGGTCACTGGCGGTCCGAAATTTGCCCCAATTGGGTTTTTTCTGGGCCTTCCCCTTCCCCGCGGTGCCGCAGTAAAAGTCCCGGCTTGCGGTGGAGTTTTCATGGGATGCGTGGAAGTTTGGGCGGTTGGGGGAGGAGCAAGTGGCCGCGACAAAATTTCGTTTACGGCCCGTGGGGGGGATTGTGGCTGAATTGGCGTATCGGTATTCGCACCCGCCGAAGCAACCGACCGTGTGAGAGGTAGCTTCACAATAAGCGAGGGTCTGACAGCCTGTTGTTGTTTCTCTTGGATGTCCTTCTCCTGTTTGTCATCTACTTCACCAAGTACCCGTGCACCTCCACTATAACTCTCCCTTTCCTTCGGCTTTGGCTTTCCCATTTTTGCCCCTGATGTCTCCTGCAATAACTTTCGAGCAAACACCCCCCGATCGAACTTGAATCCTCGGTTTTCCAGTTTTTCGCACAAGCTAACGAAATGGTTATTTTTGTCCAGAAGTTCCATAACAGCCTCCTCGGATATGACATTCCCAGAAGTGCTGCATAGGTAACTCGCTACAGCTCTCGCAACACGTTTCTTTTGCCCAATATCCCATCCGTGCCTGCTTGTGTTGTTGTGTGCCTGTGTGCATCTGGTGCCGATAGCACGAGATACAGATGGGGTACTTGGCGACTGGTTCGGAGGCGGAACTGTTGGAATTTGGTCTAAGGGGATGCTCTGTGCGGGTACCTGGGGAGGCTGAGGTAATTGTTCTGGCTCCTGGGGAACTGAGTGGTTTTGCCGGACCAAATCAAAAGGGGGTTGATGGTCGAGGACGGGGTTCACTTCGCGGTTGCTGCTCGTTCGACTGTGATAATCCTCATAGGTTTCACTTTGAGGGGGTTGCAGTGGGGTATCCTCGCCTACTGTATGCCCCCCGACAGATGCAACACTTACAGTTCTAGCCAAGGGACTACTAATAGGAGGAGGCGAACTGACATTTGAGATCCTACGCTGTGAGTTGCCTGTGTTAGGCATGATAGCTTTTGGATGTCCGTCGTCTCCCCCACTAGCAATCGCATTAGCATTCGAACTGCTCTTGCGGACACTGTCCCACACGGCTTGAAAAGTGTGGGGATCCTGTGATTGATAATACCGCATCCGTTCTACCATGTCTCTCATCTGTTGTTCTAACGCAGTGGGATCTATTGGTCCTAAATTTGCTGGCTTGGGTTCAGGGATTTCTGGTGTTTGAGGCGTGGAGTGTGGCAAATGTTGTCGCTGTTGTTCTTGGGCCGGATACTGGGGCTCTGGTGGCGAGTGATATTGCGAGGATTGTTGGAATTGTGGCTGTGAAACCGGCTGGGGCTGGGGATTGTGGGTGCTATTTTGTGACGGAGAACCGTGCCTGGGGGGCTGCTGCGGCTCAAGTTGATATTGGGGATGATACTGGGAAGCGTTTGCTGTTAAGTTCCGGTCTTGTGGGTGATAAGTAGTATATGTTTCTGGTCGCTGTTGTGATTCCCGCACTTCATGATGGTGCTCGGGCTCTGGGTGATATCCGGTGAGTGGCGGTAAGTGCGTGGCAGCATCTCTAAAGGGAGTGGGGTGGACACAAGTCTCCAACTGCTGCTGATCATTTGACCGGGTTGTTTGCTGCACTTGAGATTGATAACACCGGAATTGTTGCGGCTGCTGATAATCCCGCTGCTGGTTCTGCTGGTGATGTTGGTACTCTTGGTACTGTTGGTACTGTTGATTTACTTGGTGTTGGTCCGGAGATTGATAGGAAGACTTTTCTTGCTTTGTTCTTCCTTGAGATCGTTTTCGCGGCTTCTTAGTTGCTTGGGAATGATTCGGAGCTTGTGCTTGTATTTGCGCCTGAGATTCCCTCTCCGCCTGTGCCTGAGCCTGCACTCGAGCCTGAGCTTCTCTCTCTGCTTGCGCCTGAGCTTGTACTCGCGCTTGGGCTTCTGCTCGAGCTTTCGCCTCTGTCTGCGCGACTGCTTCTGCCTGAACCTTTGCTTCTGCTTGCATCTGTTCTTCTACTCGGGACTTTACCTCTGCTCGAGCCTGTGCCTGTACCCGCGCTTCAGTTTGGTTTTGTGCCTGATGTTGATATTGATATTCTTGGTGCTGTTCCTGTAGGGTTCGGGCGTAATTTGGCGTGGTATGCTGTTGATCTTGCACATCCATGGTATTTTGCATAGATTCTCCATTGCCCCTTGGAGCGCGTACGGGTCGAAATAGATCCTCGCGATCATCAGATTGTGCCGAGGAGCCTACTATGGGAGCCTGGCGATTAGAAACGGTCGACAATTGAGTTCTCAACATCGACAACGGCTGCTGCGATGCAGCCTGCACATTTGTCCTTTGATAGGAGGGGCCGGACGAATAAGGAACTTCAGGTGTCGCACTCCGGGTTGCTGGGGTAGATTGGGCGCTGGAATCTTGTGGATTATTGATTATTGGCTGGGCCAGCGCAGCGGACAGAAGCGAGTGGTTCTGCGTTGCTGAAAATAGCGGCTGTTGTTGCGGCGGAGCAGTATTGTGAGTTGACTGATAGGTTGTGTATGTTGATGCAGGTTTCTCGGGAACCTGCACGCTGCTCCTCGATGTTTGTAATCGCTGTTGTTGAAGGCCTGGTTTTGTTGCCCGGGATTGCGTTTGGTGCGTTTGCGAAATATGGGCAGTAGAAGTAGTCGAGGCCGTCGCCTGGTACGCTGGCACATAGTCGGCAGCAGTATGCTGCGGGATACTGGAATAGTTGAAATATTGTTGCGACGATGGAGCAGTAGTGCGGAATTGGGACTGTAAAGAATCGGCTGACGTCGAGGGAGCAGAAGAGACTTGCGCATAGCTAGCTTCATGAGAGTAAGCAGTCACATAATCGTAACCACCGGTTCCAGCTCCGGAAACCTGGCGAGCGCCAATGCCATTCTGGTTCTGGTGCGCAGGAGGCGTTATTGTTGCGGTTGTCGTCGCTCTCACTTGTGCCTGACTAGTAGGAGTCATTCCATCGCTTCTTCCAGAACTACCACCAACGCCTCCAGACTCTCCTGAGGGGGTTTGCTGCGAAGCATACGCATGCTGACCCGGGCTGTAGGGAGCCCAATTCTGTGGAGCTACATATTCCGGTCGAACGTAGCCACCGGCCGAGGGCTGTTGATGAAATGTCTGATTGATGTTATGGCTTGGTAGTGAAGATTTGTATTGGGCCGGGTTTTTTGTCGGAACATGGTGTGAGTTATACGAAAAGCTATTGTTTGAGGACATAACTGTCCTCCCCCTTCTTTAATTATCCAGAGGTTTGGAACGCGTCAGCAAAAATCACAAAGCAGACCAAGATTGATAAATCCAAGGGAACAAACTGCTCACTTTGTGTTTTCCTGCTTCCCTTGAAAGGGTGTATCAGATTCACGCTGAAGCGCGTCGGACTCGCAGTAGAACACAGGCCAAAGAGTTACGAGAATTGATGATGTGAGTGAAAGCAAGAGACTGGGGACTGAGTTCAATGTACTGGATAACCGGAGTTCTAGGGTTAGCAGAGTAGAACTACCAGGGAGAGTGATGGGCCACACGCGAAGGAGTTGGAATAGAGAAATGCTGCAGCATTTGGCTGGACGACGTGAGCCGGTGAGCGAGACGTGTAGGGACGGTCTCGGTTGCTCCAAGGTCCGCTCGGATTGAATTTTAGCGTCTGGATCTGCTTAATCTAATCTTTCTAATCTAATCTCTTCATCTGGCGGGATCTAATCTCAAGCACCCAATAGGGTACAGCCCTTGGCCTTTAGCAGGACAGTCTCAACAAATAAACCAACCCACACACAACGACTGCCACCCAGCCTGGTGCAGCGAAAGTTCATCTATCTTCCTAGCTTTGACGGCTGAAGACGACGACAACCGGAAACCGACCAACGATACCAAGAACCTCCTTGCCCCACCACCAAAATGGCCAAACTCAATGCCGGTATGTTTGGTTTTTTTCCCCTCAGAAGGGAGTACAGATTACAAGGATTACGGTCGAGTTGAAGGTTTGGCTAACCTTCGACGCTGTGATGGAAATTAGGCATCTCCGCGTCCAGGAGAAAGTCTAGAAAGGCACACTTTAGTGCCCCCTCGTCCGTCCGCAGAGTTATAATGTCGGCACCTCTCTCGAAGGAGTTGAGAGAGAAGCACAACGTCCGTCATATCTCCACCCACGGTTTGCCTATCTATGAACGCCAGTATCTGACTTAGGCGAACGGGGCACAGGTCCGCTCGATCCCCATCCGCAAAGATGACGAAGTCGTCATCACCCGTGGATCCCTGAAGGGCCGTGAGGGAAAGGTCGTCTCAGTATACCGTCTCAAATATGTCATACACATCGAGCGCGTCACCAGGGAGAAAGTCAACGGCCAATCGGTCCCCGTCGGGATTCACCCTTCGAAAGTCCAGATCACCAAATTGAAGTTGGACAAGGACCGTGAGTCAATCCTGGAGAGGAAGGGCGGAAAGGCGAAGGAGAGCGAAAAAGGCAAGAACAAGGAGTAAACCGTGGTCTCTTTTCTTTCCTTTCCTTCAGTTTAGTTGTCGATATAAACAAAAAAAGTAAATTAGCTCTTCTCAACGGGGGATTGTGGTCTAAATATTCCCCCCTTTTCACTTTTATGGGGTGTTCTATGGTTTTTTTCCTATCTGGACGGGTTTCCTTTTCTCTCGCTGTGCTTATCCTTCGAATCCGATTTACGAGTGCGATGTAAGGCGTGGGATATTTGGAGTGGGGTGCGCTCGCCCGAGGGGCACTAAATCTTTATCAGTTGGGCTCTTTTTCCTGCCTCTGCTGCTATTAGACGTGGTGATTGAGAGGAGGGCCCTTGTTGCCGCAAATATCTTCCGCCAGCATTATCTCCTCACCAGTCACAAAGAGTTCTTTGATCTTTCCCATGATTGAGTAGAGGTAAACGGCTGGCGAATATTGAGCCACCTTACATGGCTTCTTATCGCCATGATTGAAGCCATGAAAAGCCTCGCATGCAGACCGCTGTCGAAGTTACCGTGATGGCTTGCGGTTTGAATGCGAGGGACATTTCGGGTTTTAACACTGAAAAATAATCTAGTAGAAGTGTATTGCGTTTTCTAGTCCATATGTTTTTCCTTATGTGAAGTTCAAGACCGGGGGGGGTCGGGCTCCAAGTTGTCACATGTGCTAAATTGTAAAGTAATGATGCGAGTAGAACAAGATGATGCCTTTATCGCAAATGTCGCCTGAGGCTTACTACCAGAGCATACGTACAGTATACAATAAGAGTACTGTACTCTGGTCAATACGGTACCCTCGCTGTTATAACGAGTGGAAAGGCATAGAATCCTCCTCCCTCAACCCCGTTTATTTTTACCCCTCGATTGTACGACTAATAGTGGATTCGCCATCTGCCTAGTGAATTAGGTGGTAGGTGATGGATATTTATTGAATAAGGTTCCAATAGGACATCTTTTGCCCTTAGCACAATATCGGTACATCTGTTAGGAAGTAGTCAACTCCGAGGTTAAGCAAGTTCAAGTTTAAGTTGAACTAGGCTGGAGCTTTTTTTTCCTTCAGTGCTGGTGAAGAAAGTTTTTAATAGAATAGAAACATAAAGGAATCAAGACTCAGATATAAGGAATATATTAATAGAATATTTTTTTCTATTTGCTTTACTGATAATGTCTTTAAAGTAAAGGAGTTATCTTAATATTTATTTTCTGCCTCTAAGTAGTTGTCAGCTGTATTTGTCTTCTGGTATTCTGTGTACTGGTACTTTCTACTAGAGGGGAAGGTGGATGTTAGGTAGTAGCTAACTCTATGGTCAAGTAAGTTGAATCTAGAGCTAAGAAGATTTCCTGAAGTAGTCAAGAAAGCTTAAGATAGAATAGATATTAAAGTATAAAAAATATATTAATAAGATTATTTCTCAGTTTACTGATAATGTTCTAAAGGGTGAAATTTTTTTTAACTCATATACAAGTATGATATTCTTTATTTAGATATGAGAATTTGCATGAAGTACTAGCTATAGCAAAAAAAAAAAAGACCTTAATATTAAAATCACAAATAAAAGAAACTACTAATACATAAAATTCTCATCTGTGAGTAGTTCAACCCACTGAACCAAACATATCAGCTAATCATATAAGGTGTAATATATTCACACTAGCATGCAAGTCATACTTTTGGATACAATAAGAGTAGTGTACAAGTTGATCTACAACTTGTAGGTGTACTGTACTAAGAGAGGCTCTGAGAGAATATATAATGAGTAGGGACTGCTATTCCTCTGAAGGAATTAGTAGTCATGGTCTTTAAATATATAATTCTGCCTAGGTCCTGCATAGACAATATCTTAAGTCATTCTCAACTAAGAACACATACTATTAAATAAACAGAGTATCAAAGAATACTTGAAACTACAAGTAAAACAAAATATTAAACAAATCCTTGAACCAGATTCCAGTTCCAGTCATAGTTATATAAGAAAAGACAAGCTGACTCATGTAAGCAAAAGTATCAAGTAAGAAAAGATCATCAATTAGGAAAGAAAATAATACTACTATGAGAGGTAGTACCCAGTGTAACATGTTCACACTGGGGTGCTAGTTATACTGTTAATACAATAGGAGCAAGATACTATCTACTAGAGAGTTGCGTACTTGTACTCACTAAGGAAGGCTCTGGGAGGTGGTGTTAGGGGGTAGGTAACTCTAGAGTCAAGCGAGTATACACTAGGCCCTGTAATCTTCTGTCTCGGAGATAGTCAAGAAGGCTCGTAAAGATAGAAGTAAAGTAGAACGAATATATTGATAAGATCTCTTCTCCGGTCGCTGATGATAGACTTAATAGCTAGGGATTTGTTTTTTTTTTTTTGTTTAACTCATATATTCTTTGTTAAGGTACAAGAACCTGCATGGAGCGCTAGCTATGGCAAAAACAAAACCTTAATTTCAGACGGATTCCTCCGCGCCCCAGGGAACAAAACAACCCCCCCAAGACCCTCTGGTATGGGCCCAACCGTACATCCTGCCCCGCAAAGGAACAATCGTCCTCAACAGGGAAGGCAGGAAGGAGAAGAAAACCCTTCAGCGTCATCTCGACAAAGGAAAGAATAGATTACGAAACCCCCAAGTGCCTCTACAGGCGTCCGCGAACGAATATGTCCGCTGTCGGGCCCACGGTAGGACCCTGGCAAAATGCCATGACGAAGCCGGCCAGCTCAACCCAGGAGATAGTGCAATACCAAGGTAGGCCTACAAGCTGTTCGGCCGGGGGCGGGCCGCAAGCGTGGAGAGAGGAAGACAGGCGAGAGATGCCAGCAACCTGAGATAGAGGGGGGCAGCCGATACTGCCGAGGAGGGGGGGGGGTAGACCCAGGGCGTCTGGAGTCTGGAGGTGGAAAGGCTGGATGATGCACGACATCAGAGCCAGGAAGAGTTGTAGTGCTGCCGCGACGGTGGCAGAAGAGGGAGAAGTACCAGCTGAAATGGTACAGAGGGGAGGAAGGGTGGCCGAAGCACTGCCCCTTGGTGGTGGTGGGGCCCGAGGGCCCTGGCAGTAGGGTGCCAGCCGATCCCGGAAGAGAGGAGAGGAAGAGGGCAAGGCAAACAAAGGATCCAGTCAAACGATACGGTAGGAGGCTGCAACTGGGGTCACAGGAGTAGCAGATGTTTTACCGCGTCTCTCATGTAGTCCCTTGTTCTGGGAGAGATAGCGTCACTATAGTGGAAGGGATCCCACCATCTGCCACTCCCGATAGCCCAGAGGACCACCAGCCCAACTGACCATTCAACCATCAACCCAGCCGCCAAAGCCGACCGTGCAGATGCTAAGCGAAGTGTAGCAAAAGCGGGGTAGGGAGGAGAGAGGCCTCACGATGAGACCCCCAGGGTGAGGAGTGGACCCCCATCCAGCAGAGGCGAGATGCCAGGCAGGGGAGAGAGGAGAAGAGAGGCCCTGTTGGGCGAAAGAATGGGAGGCATCAGCCTGCACCCCCCGGCGGGGGGGTGCAAGGCTAGAGAAAAGTGGTGATAGTTCCTCGGTGTTGAGTCGTTCCTGATTAGGAAATATTTTTCAATGACCGGAGGTGTAGCGGAGATGGAGGATGACTTAATAGCTAGGGAGGCACCTCGATGTTTATATTCAGTGTCTGGGTGGTCGCGGCCTACATCCAATCCCTTACTGACTATGTACCTGCCATACTAACGCTTCAGTGTCCTTGGAGTGCGAACTCCGTTTGACACTGAAAACCAACTTCCCCGCTCTCTTCCTGAGTGGAGTGATCAGCTCCGTCAAAGGACTTATCAATGACTCTTTTATGTGCATAGCTTAGAGTGCATGACGAAGATAACTAACTCGACCAGCGAGTTGTTATAAACCAATCGTAACTAGGTCTTCCGGATGACTCTAGCTTACGCGAGCTGAAGGGACATGCATATTACTTCTTGTAATTGCATATAGACTTGCAGAGGTCGTAGCTCAATAACTAATCGACCAATCTGAACCAACTAAGTCTTATCTTGTAGAGCGGAGCTCCTTCTATGTTATCCAGTGAAAACCCCTCGGTCGCATGCCTCGCATCTCCGCGGAGCCGGCTGCATAGATGCCTTGTCATATCGTGCGATAATATGATATCGCCACGATGACTACGGCGGGGCCCGGAGTCGAACACGTGACCTTATGAATTTAGTCCCATGCCGCACCGATTACGCTATTATGTGTAACATTAGCTCCCTCCTCTTCGAGACTCGTCCTCGAGTCTTTCTATGTTCTAAGGTAATCTATGGTACATTTCTATAGTCATAAAGAAAATTCCGTTTAGGACTCTATCCAGGTAGGGTGAAAAACCTTTGCGTGTTTACTTGTCCACGCCTAGGAAAACCTTTCCTGATAATCCTACCTTAGCCGTGGCATTTCCGGGTTGTCCCTATAGAACTCCTCCACTAAGTCGGTAGCATGTTCAAGATGCTCTGGTGGTTCCCAGGTGTTTTCATCCTCCGAACACCCTTTCCATTTAACAAAATATTTGAGTTCTCGGATGCGTTTATTGCGTCCAGAGACTCTTTTTGTGCAGGTGAGAATTTCGCTTTTAACGATCTTCTCGACTTCCCATTCCAGATCGCCATCGATCTCTTCTGCGTCCTGAGGCCTCTGTTCCCTATCTGGTCGAACCGATGTTCGGTAGGGTTCGAGGAGCGACACATGAAATACGGGGTGTATTTTCCACTGTTCGGAAATTTCCAACTTAAAAGCTCGGTCACCTCGTTTCTCGAGTATTGGAAAGGGTCCGTAAAGTTTTGGGCTCAACTTTTTTGATGGTCGTTTAGTTCGAATGTTTTTTGCATTGAGCATTACTCAGTCTCCAACTTTATAATCCGGTTGTTGTTTGACCCTGGGGTCGTAGTATTTGCTTATTGCTTCTCGAGTGAGTTGTAGGGTGTCTCGGGCTTGTTGGTGTATTTCCTTCATCCAGTTGGCATAGGTTGTTGCTCCTGGATTCCGTACTTCTCTTTCTTTCATCCAT